TTATCGAACACGTTTCCAGACATTGTAGAAAATTAATAACCAGGGTATTTTCTTTGGATAACCACCTAGCTAATTTATTTTACCACCATTTTGTTTAGCTAAATGTTTATTTAACTAATTCCCTCATCAAGTTAAAGGTTCAACTCAGAGAGTTGCCCTTTGAGAGTAGATATGAGACCAGATCTGTTTTTTCCCAGAGATTCATGCTCATTCAACAAACTGTGAACTGCCTCAAATTTCTAATTGTGGTCCAACACCAGGTAGGATAATTTGTGACTTCTGAGCAGCAGATGATAAAAGGGGATTAGACATTCAGAAAATTTATTAGGGAAAATATCTGTGAGGGAAAATCGGGAATCAGACAAAGGAGGCCAGGAGAGCCTTCAGCCTGGAATGCAGGTCCAACCACAGAGAAGAGAGTAAAGGAAGGAAGGTCCTGTGGAAGTCACAGCCCCGAGGGCAGCTGTGAGAAAGTTCAGCAAGGGCAATGTCATGTGTCAGCAGAGTCCTACAGCTCCCAGGAGCAAAAGTAAGTATCCCTGCCACAGTGACTCATTGCCTGGAAGTGGCCACTGGGAATTGTGGTCTGTGTACCAGCACAGTGTGATGGATTTCAGAGCACGGCAGCTGGGGCCACTGGTCAATGACACCCACCCCAGTAGAATGGAAAGGTACAGTTTTATGGCTGTGAAGAAAATCTCCACAGCTAATTAATTTGACAAAAAGTTAAGAAAGGATTTAAAAATGTTTTGCCACACTAACTCAAACCCACTGACTATAAGGACTACTTTATTTGCTGTTGTCGTCTTTGTAGGAACTATTAAAAACATCTTGCATCAAGGAACTACTCAAAATATATTTTCAAATTTGATTCAGTTCTAACACTACAGTGACCATATAAATGACTAGAGGTGGGAGAAAACTTAGCCTGTATTTCTACAGAACTTTCCCATAGTTAACACAGCTGGAGAGCACAAGGTCCTGGGGTTACATGTGATGATGTCCCTGGCACATGGCATAAGGGTACTAGTAGGTGGAACCATCATTTTCACTGGCAGGGCGGTGGCAGCATCTTTGTCATTCAGAGGAGGCATCCAGGGATGCTATTAAGTCTGCATTACCTTTTGCTTTATCAGATTTCCATCTTACCCTCTTCTTGGACCCATTTGCTGTTCTGTCACCTTAAAGAAAGAATGGAACTACAGGAGAGAGTCCGCATTGAGAAAGAGCTAGTAAAGCATGCAGATTCTGATGACAGATGGACAGACTTCAAATTCTTGCTCTAAATTTCACCATTCTTTCATCCGGGGCAAGTTGCTTCACATCTCTGTGTTTTGGTTTCCTCATCTTTAAAGAAGACGGTACGTTAGTCAGCTTTTCATCACGGTGATCAAAATACCTGACAAGAACAACTTTGAGGAGGAAAGATTTATTTTGGCTCATGGCTTCAGAGGTTCTGTTCATGGTTTGCCTATTGGCAAATGGCAAGTCAGAAAAGCCATAGTGGAAGTGTTTGGGGAAGGGTGTGGCAGGGAAAATATGCTGGGCTCATGACAGCCAGGGAACAGAGAGACTGAAAGGGGCCAGAGACAGATGTAGTGACCTACTTCTTCCAGCCATGCCCCACCTGCCTCTCATTTTCACCACCTCCCTGTATGTCCATTAAAATTATCAATCTATCAAATGGATTATTCCATTAAGGAAGTCACAGCCCTCATAAATGATCTTTTCCCTTCCAAACATTGCTGCATTGTCTGACACATGAGTTTTGGGTGACATTCCAGATCTAAACCTTAATAAAAGATTCTGTTATGTACCCCACAGGTTGTATTATTATTTTTAAATAGTGAACATATGTAAAATCACTTAAAGCAGAGACATGTGCAAATTATTTAGAGGTGAATTTTAGTGTGATTTGAGAGTTCTCCGAACTGAAATGGGCTTGAAATGGGCTTGGGGAAGAAGTGAGAAACAGAATTATATATCAGGGAGGGACATAAGTAATTCCTGAAATTAACGCCTTCATATTGCATACTTGAAAAGAGTAACTTGAAGGAGAAGAGATATTGGTATAAACAGACAATAGAGTAAGTATATATTCAGCCAGACTAATTATGAAGGAAAGGGTTTGGTGTTGGTTTTCCATTCTCATCACCATGGCCAACAAGGTTACTTAGATGTGCTCATTGTAGATCCTGTATTTTTTTTTTTCTGATCATGATGCTTATCAAACACAGAATCTTTTTTTTGGTTATTGTTACTGTCTTTATTTTAATTAGGTATATATGACAGTAGAATGCTTTTAATTCATTGTACACATTGCAGTACAACTTTACATTTCTATGGTTGTACATTATGTAGCATCATACCATATGTGCAGTCATACATGTACCTAGGGTAATAATGTCTATCTCATGCCACCATCTTTCCTACTCCCATGCCTCCTCCGAACCCCACCCTTCCCTTTGCCCCATAAAAATTCCTGCATTTTTCCCATGCCCCCCCCATTATGGATCAGCATCCACTTATCAGAGAGAACATTCAGCCTTTGGTTTGGGGGATTGGCTTACTTCACTTAGGATGATATTATCCAACTCTATCCATTTACCTGCAAATGCCATAATTATATTCTCTTTTAATGCTGAGTAATATTCCATTGTGTATATATAGCACAGTTTCTTTATCCATTCATCTATAGAACCATGGCTGTACCACCTTTGTTTAAGTTGCAAATGTAGAAGGTCAGTAGAGGACTAGAAAGAAATAAGTTAATTAACTTTATAACATCATCATGTGAAAGCCAGGGCACTAAAATTTATTGGAAAGCCACTGCCATAGTTCTTGAGATAACTGAGGACCTGAAGTCAGTCTTAGGAAAAGCAACACATACCAAGCCAAGTTAGGGAAACACAGGAGCAAAACCAACTGAGGTTACCTGGTTAGCACAGAAGGATGTTTTGGTTTATAAGTGCTTATTATAAATTAATACAAGTAATTGTCTTTAAAAAGTAATTCAGAATTCCTTTTGTAAACTTGGCCCTACCTCAGGAATCCAGTATTAAGATCTCTCAACAGAACATGTCCTAATGCAATAATTCCAATACGCATGATGGCATGGCATGGGTATATGTTTACATAGAAAAGGTTTAAAACACCACAGCTACAAATAGCATGAACAACTAGAAGACATTAAAATGAAGATGAAATGAACACATGGGTTTCTTTTCACAAATTAGGACAAAGTTTGTCCCATTGTTATTTTTGATGGATTTGTGATTTTTGAGATTTTCAGGATTTGGCTATCTTAATATCATCCTTGATATATCTAATAAGATTTGATTGGCTTTTAATAATAACTTTAGCTGTTCCACTAAGGAGTGTTCATTATATTTTCTTAGGATTTTCTGTACAATTTTTCATAAAGTCCTTATCTCCTGCTCTTAGACACAGAACATGTTATTATCTTTTAAAACCTTATATCACATACAACTTTACAGGTTAGAGATTGAAATGCTAACAATAGGATCCCATCCCTGCCACAACTCCAACTCCTAAGTGGCAGGAGAATAAAAACAACTTAAGATGAGGGCTTGGGGAAATGAAAGAATACAACAAACCCCTGTCATGTGTGTCATTAGAGTTATAACAACTATATAAAGAAGTGAAGTGTGCAGTCAAATAGGGTATATTACATATTTCCATTTCTGAACATATGAAAACGTTTTGGAGGAGATAGCATTTTATAATAATAAGAATAAAAAAATATGGTCACATTATTTTATACCATAAGTTGTCAAAGCATATAGATCACCACACTTACTGTGACAATAAAAGATTAAGTCATGTAATTTTTTATTACAATGTGGTTTTTCCTCCCTCCATTTCCCCATAGTTAGCTGATGACACTGTGCAACAAAAATATTTTCTGAAGGCTATGTGACTTATTTCTCTAAAGCAATTGGACATTTAAGTTCTATTTGATTAGTTAATTATTAGTATCAAGAGGGATAGAAAAGAGATGAGAACATGAGAGTTTGAGCCCTGAATTCTATTCACTAGCTGTATCAGTGGGAGAAATCAATCAAACTCGCTGATTTGTCTGCTCTAAATGGTTTTAACAAGTATCCTTTGTACATGGAGTCTTATTTGTGTCATATGATCTCTATCCATACAAATGATCATGATCTTTCAATGCATGATCTGTGATGCCACTAACCCAGACAAAATAAAAAGAAATAAGGTTGTACCTTATTTTTGCATTTATTTACTTCAATTTCATTCAAAAATCAACTACAATTGATACAGAATCAGCCCCTGAGTTTCAGAATGATAACTGGAATAGCCATTTCCATGATTCAGAGGCACCATAGAGATTATTTTCTAGTCATCAAAAATGTATTTTCCCTTTGCTGTAAACTGTAAGGTTGGTTTTGTGGCAGTAATAATTAAAAGCATCCTTAGATTTTACCCTTTTGTACTCAAATAAGTATGTCATTGACCCTAATGGGAGGATATATCTGTAAATATATATACACTCCTGATCAGTTCATTTGAGGTTTTCCTTTCAATCCAACAAATGCACAAAACCTCTGCAGATGCCATTACAGCTAGAGAAGCATTACCAGTGTTAAATGAGACAGTTCCTAAAAGCATATCAAAGGCACTGATTTGTCTGAAATGGTTAGTTTGTTCCACTCATATCCTATCACAATTGGTAGCTGCAGTGTTTATTTGAACTTAAACACTGATTAGGTCTTTTACTATCCCTATTTTTGCAAGCACACACAAAGCTAAATATACCAATCCTCATTAAGTCCAAAGAAACATGCATAGCATGTCAAGCAGTCATTGTTGTTATTACCAATAAACAAAAATGCATATGCTTCCCCAATCTCTGTGCTGAAATGTGCTCTGTGTTTACCAAGCAAGCTAAAGGATAGGGGGGTAAAAAAAAAAAAACCCTCTGGATGAGTGTGTGGACTCCAGCCCAGGGTATGTACCTGGGTCTCAACATCTGTCAGCTTTCTGGTCTGCTCTGCAGTCTGAGTCAGGAGGCTGGTTCCTATCTCGAGCATGGTGGCTGTGTGGTTCTGAACTGCATTCTGCTGTATCTGGGCCATCTCCGACTTCATATTTTCCACGATGTAATTCTCAAGCTGCAAGAGATAAAGGACAAAGTATACTAGATTATAAGCAAAGTTTCCCAGTTGGGGCATGTAATATTTACAATGACAAAACAAGACACAGCTGGCAAACTGGCCATCTGGCAGGGATGTTCTGTGTGTCTGGGAGCTGGAGAAAAAGGAAGCAGAGCACACAGGAATCCAATTGCTAACAAACTCCTAATATACTGATAAATATAAATAATAATCACAATCATAATGGAAATATGCACTTGAACTGTGATTTCCTATTATTGACATGATCTCATTTAACCCTCACAGCAAAGATGTAAACTAGGCACAACAGGCCTCCTTATTCTTTTTATTTTATAGCTGAGGAAACCAAATCAGAGAGAGAACGGGATGGATGAACCCCAGGTCACCCAGATTAGCAAATAGTTTCAGTCTAAATCTTAGTGCTCTGGTCTTCTAGTTATACCATGCTGCCCACTCATCTCAGAGAAATTCAGTCTTCCCCTTCCATTTTTGTAATGATAAATAAAATATCCTACTTCCCTGGGGAAATGGACTAGGAGAGGGAGGAAAGTATATTCCCAAAATGAAAGCCTTTAAGGAATATTAAAACATAGGCAAAGATGTGTCAAATGAGCTGAAGATCCCTAGAGTGAGCTATAATCATTTTCTGTGCTCTTTTGCAAGCTCAAAAATAGGCACTGAAAGTATAGCCCATAAAGCAGCATTTGCCCTACTTGCCTGGGGTAAAATTGGTTCCTTTATGATGCCATCTAAGAGTACACTAAAGTTGTAAAATAAATGGTACCACAGGGGCCAAAGGAATGATTAAGTGAATTACTACAAGGGATCTTGTTAGGCACCTGGGAGAATAAAGTTGAGCACATGCAGGGTTTGAAAAATGCAGAAGTCTGTATCTCCCTGTCAGTACACTTCACTCTCCCCCACCACTGCATGGCGACTGCATTTTATTATCAAATTACACATATGGGGAAATTGCATCCCAGAGAAGTCAGGTCCAAGGCCACACACCACAAAAACAGCCAGACTTGGACCTGAGTGCCGAAGTCCTTAACTCATACCAACACTTTTAACCACTCGATAGCTCTGCCAAGTCGTGCTTAGTGAGCCGGGTTCCAAATCATTAACAGCTACGTGATTTTTTACTGATTTAGTGAACCATAATACATCCACTATTTTATAATCCATAGTAACATTATTATCATGTAATAAATACAATCTAAATGTAAATTCCCCTTTGCGAAATTTTGGCAGTTCACTTTCTAACATCATCTCTCGCTTACTTCTATTTATCAAATATTAATCTGCCCCAACCTAACAAAAATGGAAGCTTCGTATGAAGCTCATATTGTGATACAAAATTGATCAGAAGAAATATCTGAAAATTATCTTAACAAAATGGAAGATCTCTAAACCAAATCTTGACTTCATTCCAATTGAATGAACATACGTAAGCAACATGGGAAGGGTAGAAGAATGAGGGTCCGTCAGAGTAGTAAACATCTATCATTTAGATTCCACATCCCTGTATCCTTTTTCCTAGTGACATCCCTTAACATCTTTAAGGGAAATTATCATTTTTTCTTTTTTCAAAGCAGATGCTTTGGGTAGAGTTGATCCACCCTAACTTTAGAAGAGGGTACATATTTAAGTCTGGCAAAACACAATGTTCTACTCTTACTTAGCAAGTGTGGGTTGTCCAGGAATGGAAAGATATTGTAAGCAAGGCCATTAAATCTTGGTTCTGGCATTTTGTCAAACTAGTTTACACAAGAACTTCCTCTTCCTCTGTGGTTAATAGCGGGTAACATAGATGCTTGATGATGCCCAATTTTGCCACCATAAAAACTAAAGCAAGCCTAAGAATGAAGACAATCCAGAAAAAAAAATAATGAGAAATAGATGATAGATAGTGACCCAGGTGTGATATAGATAACAGGATATCTTTCAAGCACCTGCATCCAGCCATGATGTTTCTAGTCAGGTCTTCCCTTGGACTTGGAGTTGTAAATTGTGTAATCTAAATCTCCCCTGAACCGCCAAGTCTTGCTTTTCCTTCAGTCAAATTTATTTATGTCTTCAACACTGACAAACAAACCAAAAGAATTTTGACTGCTGTATTCAATAGCTGCTTAGCAAAAGAAGCCTCAGGCAGCTAGACATTTGCTGTATGTTCCTTGCTTATTCAGAGAATTTAGGGCTATTTATAAATATGTATATCCTAAGAAATGGTAGACAAGTTTCCATTGAGAAGATGAACCCTGCCATTTACAGTAGACATTTATCAATTACATTGTTCTGCAGCAGGACAGCTAAGCACTGTCCTTTAATAAATAAAAGTGTCACAGTGAATTTAACCTCACATATCCACATGTTACAGCTGCTTTACAGATGAAACAGGCTTAGAAACCACTAAACAACTTGCTCAACAAGAAGCAGGAACTCAACCTCCAAGTTCAAAACCCACTTTCTTAACAACTGACTTACTTAGCCAAGCATCACCTAATTGTGCATTTTATTACATAGCTCCTAACTTTCAGTGTTTGCTAAAACTACACGGGAGCACGTGAGGAGATGTTCAGAATGCATTCAGAGGTACCTACCGTATGCTATACATTTTTAAGGGCATATACTAGGATAGCATGTATTTAGGACAGCTTTCCAAAATAATTCTGATTCAGCCAAAGGATAAATGCTTTTCAAAATGTGCATCATAGAACAACTTCCTATATGAGAACTGTTTGTGAAATGAGTAGTTTTTTGCCAGAATGTAAATTAGCAGGGTTGCTAAGCACATTTCGCCTGATCCATATATATAAACAAGGTTTTTTCAATGAAGACAACAATGTTCAATTTACATCCTAGTACAACCTTCCTGTTTTGTTCACAAAAGGATAAAACTTCTTTAGCACTTATTTAGACCATCAGACTTAACCGTGATGTGTCAGATTTCCTGCTGAAAATAAAATTTCAAAATTATAATTTGATTTTTATGCAGATTTCCCTCCTGAGAAAGAATTTGCAAATCAGTGAGCTCCAATGCATAATTTACTTGACAATTATACATCAATTTTTTTATGCAGTCAGTTGCCAGAGGTCAACATGTTCTGGGTATAAAAACAATCATAAGTCCCCAGCTTCCCAGAGGACACCCTCTGGCATAAGGCGACTACAGCAAGCAACAGTTGCTTTTCAATCCCTGTGACCTGTCAGCTGTTGACCATTCAGTACCACTGTGCTTTTCTTTATAACTATAAAAGTTAAAATAAGCAAAGGAAAATAGCTGTTTCATGTACACATTGATCAAACCACAAAGAGCTTCCCAGTCTGCTGATCCTGCTGTGGAAATAAAGTAGGTCTCCAACCAATCCTAAAATTCTCATTGAAGCTGCCATGAATATAACTCTAGTTAATTATTTTTTAATCAAATGGGGCTGCTTTCTCTAGGAGTACCTGCCTTTTAATGCAAAAGGTAATGGCACACTTAAGTAGCAAGAACCAGATGTAGTTGATTTAAAGGCTGAGCGGGGAGGCAGAAGTCAAATATACAATGTGTGATTAATAAGGAGGGTTGCTTTCATCTTATCTCTAGACATTCCTCTGTAGATGTATAACTGTGAAACCCAACTTGACAGTACCATACCAGCCAGGTCCAGGAAAGATTTGTAACAAATTTGATTGTATTTGTGTATTCCCTAGTGATTTAAAAAATATGTTTGCTGAAAATACGGCTACCTCAAACATCTAATAGGTGTATTTGAAGCTTAGACATTGCTGACCACAAGAGCTGAAGGAGTTAGAAAGTGGGAGGCTTTGAAGCTGAATCATAAAATTTTTTGACAATATTGCTCTGCTCAGTGTCTCACTCCAGAGTTTTATCAGGTATTGGCTAAAGACTCAGAAGGAGATGTAGCATGTGGTTTTAAATGAGATGAAATGATGATTTTTAAGAAAGGAGGTAGTATCACCTCTGTGAAGTGAATGGCTGTTTGCAGAGAGCTTTCCTACACATAATCTGACTTGATGCTCCCACCAGATCTACAAAGGGAGTACTGAGTCCATTATAGTTCAAGAATCAGAGGTCTTATATAACTTGAGATCATGTCTCAGGACATGGTTCCTGCTCTGTTGTTGGACTGGTTGACTGGTGCATTAGCTGAATAATTGGGTGATTTAATTTGTAGTCAGCTCTTGAGAATTCATCTACTTATTCCTTTGAGAGAAACAGGCAATGTCAGAAAGTGATCACCTTCACGCTTCTGGGCTACACAGGTGGATGCGAAGTCAGATGAAGGGCCCAGACCCAGGCATGTGGAGAGTTCACTCTGCTGCACTATTAATACAAAGAATCCTCTTTTTTTTTTAAGTTGTCTTAAGAGGACATTTTTCTTAGCAATGTAAATTTATTTGTTTCTTATAAACAGCACAAAATATAACAAAGGGTGAGGACACACTAAGCCTATACTAAGGCTAAATGGGTACCAGGACTTGCAAATATGTAGTTTGTTGAATCTTTACAACAATCTAGGTGCTATAAATATTGATTTCTTCATTTCACTAATATGGAAATGGAGACTCAGAGAAGATAAGTCAATTGTCTAAGATCCCACAGCAAGTGGGTGGCGGAGCTGGTATGTGCTTTGAAAGAGGCCAGATTGCTAAGCAAGTTGTACTTCATCCAAAAAAGAAAATCACGGTAAAATACCAGCAAACTGCCACCAATATTACAGGCTTATTCTGACAGAAGACAGTATTCAGACAGAATATGAAAAGTGAAAGTGATAGAAACAACAAGGTGAAATTGTTTCAAAGATAATGTTTAAGTTGTTTAGACATTTGTACACTGATGGATGACATAATATCCTGCAAAATGTTTTAGGTAGCGAGAAAGCAAATATCCCATTGACTATGTGACATGCAATATTATAAAATAGAAAAAAGAGTTTTTAAGAAATCAAGATTATCAATCATTTGTAGTTCACTCCTAAATCACTTGTCTC